GCGAATCGACTGAAGAGAAGACAAATCGAGTTTAATGTGAATTATGTTTGCGTTTGGATTCCTCGACACAATCTCTTTGATGGCATTCTCTGCCCTCAACTCATCCCTACAGCCAATGATTATCTAAGAAATGAAACCATTTGTCTAATAATGCAAATAATAATCAATAAATTAAGTTAAATTCATACCTTTGCTCCACGAAGTGATAGTTGATATGCCGTCTCTTTGCCAATGCCGGCGTTGGCGCCGGTAATTATAACTACCCGTCCATCCAATCGCTTTTGACTCAAACAATTTTTCCTGAATCCAAATATATTCTGTAAAACTTCAGCAAACCTTTCGTATGAAAATCTTAAGCCTTGTGTTATCGTCAAAGTCATTATAAATTATCTAATCTGATTATTTAAATTAGATTTTATAGCATCAGGATCACAGTGATTAATGCTAAATTATTGAAATGCTAGCGCTTTATAAATGATTTGAATTTTTAGTGCCAAAGCACCCAAACTCATGCGCTGTTCATACAAATCATATCATTAGTTGACATTGAATGCACTCATAGTTTAGTGCAATTCATAACTAAAGTTAGTTTCACGCGGAATTTGACTTATAAATTGGTTTAAAAATAAATGATCTAGTATTTAATATTATTCAACAAATTTTATTCACAAAGTTATGTCAGAAATACTATTATACTGTATACAATAGTAAGTTACATTAATACAGTATAACCAGCTAGATAACAGATATACTGTCGAAGCTCTGAGTTGTCAATCTCTCTGTTGTGTATCGCTCTATGGTGTGAACTAATTCTTATTTTTTGGCGGTTTCCCTATACCTGTAATGGTAAAAACATTCCCTGTTGTCAACTTCTATGGTGTGTATATCTCTATGCTGTGGACACATTTAGCAATATTTTATGTTATTTTCCGCTCTGAGTTGTGTAAAATGTCACAAAATAATACTAAAATTGTAAATTATATTTAATTTTTTAAAGAACATAAGCGCCAATATATAAATTATTACCTACTATTATTATAAAGTGAATCTAATATTGAAATCAAAATTATTTCACAAAATAAAGAGATTAGTCAATTATTGTATAATGCATCCTTAGATGGCTATCTGTATTTGATGAATGAGTATTATATTATAAATTATTATGTGCTACTAATTAGTATCTTAATCAATTATCTATTACTATTAATGAGAAATTGTATTGTATATAAGGTTTTTATTTATTATATCGAAGTAATTTGATGAAAATTTTCTACTAATTCTATTTAACAAGTTTAATTATTTACTAAGAAAAATCTAGATAAAATTGATAAAATTAGCATAAATTTCACAGATAATATGTATGAGATAATATACTAGAATTCTTGATTAATTGAAACATAATATCCAATATTCAAACCCCGATTGCCAGTTATTGGTAAAGTTGGCAACATTCTTTTTTATTGACATTCCCTGTTGTGAACATTCCCTACTGTGTACAGATTTGGTCTGCATTAGGTCATACACAACTCAGAGCTTCGACAGTAATTATTTTAATTACAAAGAATAGTATAGATTCTATACTATAAAAGTAAATAGAAAATAATTTGTAATTATATAATGTTAAATAAAATAGTGTTATAATTATTTAATTTATTAATTAGTACAATTCAAAAAAAATATTTTTATAATATAATCCATAAAACATGTAATCATTTGAAAGGCCAGGCATACTTTGGAAGTTTGTACTCGTCCTCCAATTTAACCAAATCTTCACTCAATTCCCATAACTTTTGGGCACTTTTATCGTCCGTCGCGTTCGCATACATATCATCCACTCGTAAACAATTGCTGTTGAGTTTGAAATCAAATTTAATACAATCAATAAAAGCAAATTTCAAATCAATAGAAATACAAACTCATAATAAAATCCGGATTCACTGTCCAGTGATTCTTCGAGAGCGCAGTAAAGGGTGGTCTGACAGCCCTTTTCTACATTAATGGATATAGTATTGGACAAAAATTTTGA